CTGAACAAGAATCAACACGATTTAAAGACATACAGCTACCACAGAGCCTGACTGAACTGGGTATACCTTGCCAGGTTCTTTGGAAGAGAGATACTGTAAACACACACTGGTCACCCAGGTTGTGGGACAAGTTGTCTCACATAGAAACCCAAGGGCAACATATACCCTTAAGAAACAGGGAGGTGGAAGGAAAAGTTTCATAACCAGGTTAAAGAATTATTTTCTTAGAATATATGGCTTCATAGTGATTCACAAATCTTTTACACTTAACTTAATATTGCAAAAATGTATTATATAAAAAGATTATTCTTCAGAATAAACTTATACTCTTCTGTCTGCTGATTTTGATATCTTTTGTATTAGTATTACAATAGTTATGTGCTGAGGGATGTCTCCTGAACATGCACAGGGCCATACAGATGCCGTCTTAAATGCTATGGTTACAAATAATTTATTATTTCATACATTTATTGTTCAGCAAAAAATGCATAGTTACATTATTATACAGAATTTCATATTCAAGACACTGTATAGGGAACAGAGTGTCAGAAGACTGAAATCATCACAGAAATGAGTCACAATTTGTTGAGTCACATGCACAGAATTGACAAAAATTATATCTATATTATGGGTTATTTTGCTTAATTGATCTTGATGTCTGAAATTATTAAGTAATGCTCTTCTGTTGAAATACACTGTTGATCTGAAACCACACCATAGCCCGGGTGTGGAAAGTCATGTCTCCTGAGAAGTCCTCTCTAGCTAGATAAGATAGCTCTTCAGGATGAAGGGGAGGGACGGAGTCAGGGTATCATGATAGTAATTTAGCGAGCAGTGGGAAAATTTCTCTTTATGACTGCATAACTCTTTTACTCCCCCCCTTATCAACATTAAATGAACTTGAACAGACCAACACCAGAAGACACAAAGTTTCTATTTGATCACTATTAAATCCTCCCTCTACCTCTGACCTGAGGAAAAACATGAGGATGACCCTTCAAGTAATGCCCTTTGCTTCAAAAGGGGACCTGCTGGTTAGACATTCTTGCAATTTGAATACAGTTCTCTGATTTAAATCCTTAGGTTAGAAACAGACGCACCTCATAAGGCAGATGGCTGGAGAAGGCCTAACTACATATCGAATCCTTTTAGGGATCTTTTGTCTTCAAGGCTGGATTTGTGAAAAGCAAAGGCTTTAAGGGTGGTGGGCGTGGTCCGCGAGAAGGCGGAAGTGGAGGAAGTTCGGACTACCACATGCTTTGCGCAGACGAAAAGCAGCCACAGGATCTTCCCCTAGCCCTGGAACATAGAAAGCTCTTCTTGGTCCATGTACCTTTGGCACGGGGCTTCTTCTTTCCACTTCAGAGAATGAAGGGCCAGTGTCCAGAGCTGTGCATTTCTTATTGGCTGTCATTCACTATGATCACAACCTCATTTGAGTGAAACACGCTTTACCTGTTTATTGTCTGGGTCCCTAGTTGCTTGGTTAGAATAATTTTACACAGAGCCTTCAGAAATGAAAACCAACTGGGCAGAAATGTAGACCTTTTGTTCTAAGCCTTTCTAGGAGACACAATTTAATCATGTTTCTAACCAAAATATTTTAAAAACTTTAAAATTTAGCCTCATTACATACTTAGAACCTATCTGACATTTTTTTCTTTTTTTTTTAAAAAATTGTTTTTATCCTTCTTTGAACCATATAGTATTTACATTTTTAAATTTGGGTAAGAGCTCAAGATTGATCCAACCCCGCAGGACAGAGATGAGGCTTTCCAAAATGCACAGGTTCTCATCCATGTGCTAAGGCTTGTTTTGTACAAACAAATTGCTATTACAAACTGGTAGAATATAAAATGAAAATATTTCCTTAAAAAATTTCCCATGAATTGTCTTTTTTGTATCCACCATATTAAAAACAGATTATCCTTTCTATCTAGAGATGGAATTAAAAGAAGCAATGAAATTAGTGTGGCCCACATTTCATCTAGAAATGAGGGTTTATTTACATGGTGTCCTTTCTTGACATTATAGTAAACTGTGAAAAGCAGGGCTATCCTCACCATATGGCTAAATAACCGACTGCGGACTGCGGATCCTGCCCCGCTCAGCCTTGAGTGCTTATTGCATATTTTAGGTGGAGCTTAAGGCATGAGAAAGGTGGCCTGCTGCTGTTATACAGTTAAAAACAATTTAGCACACTCAAGAAATTTTCCTTGAGAAATACCATGTTTGGAATAGCTGTCAGAGGTTGAGAACCAAATGCATTAAAGCTCCTGAATTACACTTAGAGGAACAGTGCATTGGAAACATTTTCAAAAGCTCCAAGTAGAGGCTGCTTTCCCACTGAGTTAAAGAGCAAACACTAAGCATTTTGTTACATACAGGTGTGTGTTCAACACTTTCAAAAGTCACATCCTGCCACAATTAACAGCTAAGTGAGCATTCTTGGCCCCTGACCTATAAATAAACACTAATTCTGCAACTTGCTCACAGACCCTTAAGAAGCTACTCTAAAACAAAAAAGCCTATGTAAGACTGGTCAGAAATTTGCAATCCAGAAATGTGATACCTTTGTTCTTTCTGAAAGAACAACTGAATTTTGTTAGTTGTTTGGAATGGTGACTAAGAAAAATGGATACCCATTTTCATAACTAGGAAACAGAATATTGCAGAAGTTGGATCTTCAGTAGAAAGGCATGTACTAGCCTCTCACAAGGAACTACAGCAGTGTTCAGCTTTACCTGCTGAAGGCTTCCTTTTTCAAAGTGTTTAGGCTCTTTTACTTTTTGTCAGACAATTTATGTCAATGAATATTGGCATTCCTTCAAGAGAATGATTCAACGCATGCTTTACAACTGGCTGGTGCTAACCCTAATTTCTTTTTGACCTATGTCCTAATTTTTTCTGGAAGCAAATTAGGAACATTAAGCCAGAGGATAAATGCACTACTCAAAATATACTCAGGCACCAGTGTTCAGGTTAAAAGCTACAGGGTAAGCCAAATAGAACTCCTTGCCTAACTATTTAAACTCTAAGACCCTGAGAATTCACATGCTTTTGCTAGAGACAAAATTTAAAACTCATACAAAATCGAACATTATTGACCTTGCTGCCTATTGTGCTGTTTGAATCAAGTTCTCTTTGTTCTTTCTTTCCCATGTGTTCTTCCTATTTTTTTTTACATCTGATACTTTTTTAAAAAGTAATTTTCTACAGATTTATTTTCTCCCAGATATGCTCTATAAATTACAACAAACAATTTTAGAAGAGGAAAAAAGGCTAGCACATTAGCCTTAGTTTTAATTTTGGAAATTTAAGCATTTAAAGTTGTATCTGTGATGTTTTTAAATTACATTGTCTGTGAAATTCACCTAATGGCATCACAATTTAGGTACATTAATAAACCATGGTTCATAGTGATATAATTACTACTGTCCTTCATGTAATTATTGTTAGTGTTTTTATTAATAAGTAAGGATCAATGTTTCTCGTTCTGCATACATCCCCACCATCCCTTTACCTGACTTGTAGAACTTTAAAATGTCAAGCTATTTTTAACTATAGGCCCAGGAGCAGTCAGGAATAGAAAAGAAATTGCAGATAGATTAACATCTTGATTGAAAAAAGATTCTATGCACTGCTCTTCTGCTAACTGATAGAAGAAAAGACCCAATCTTCTCTGTTCCACCATAAAACAAACAAAAATGATGGCTGTGACAGCATGGACAGACAGATCCTTGCCCAAAGGCCCTACATACAGTAGGTGCTCAGTGATCATTAAAGGTATCACACAGGTGAGTGGGTGAATGCTGACTCCAGAACACTGCCAGTGAAGCTAGCAGTATGAAACTTCAATAGATGAGCAAGAGGATAAAAACCATTTAAGTGGTTGATAACATGATTAATAAGATTTTATAAACTAGTTTCAGAGATAGCTATCTTGCTGAGCATGGTAGCACATGCCTGTAATCCCAGCACTCTGGGCTTGAGGCTGGAGGATGCTATGAATTTGAGGCCAGGCTGGGCTACATAACAAATTCAAGGCCAGTGTGAACTACAGACTGGCTCAAAAAAAGGAAGAAAGAAAGAAAAAGAGAAAGCAAGCAAGCAAGCAAACCATCTCTTTGCTCTATTTAAAAATTATAGTCAAAGGAATACATATACCCATATATCAAACACACATAAGGTATCCAATTAGTGTTTGGGGCTTGGCCAGGTATTATAGTTGTGCACACTCACAGATGCTCACAGGTGAGCAGACAATTGTCCCCAGGTTGTAATGATAATTGGAAAACTTAAGTCTGTTACTTAGGACCAGTGTTAACTCAGATTAAAGTTATACTATATGAAGATAAAATTCCCTATTATTGCTGTTAGCCTCCAATTCAGCACATCAGAAAAAAATGCTGATCACTTCCATTCCTCAAATGTTACATTCTTAGAAATGGCTCCCAAAAAGTAGCACACTGGATGAGGCCAAATGTTTTTTCAACTGTAAGAACTTTCAGGCAGGCTTTATGAATGGAAACACGGGCAGGGCCCTGGGGCCAGCTTTCTAGCTCCATACTCTCTCTCTCTCTCTCTCAGCTATTTTTAGAAAGTATGTGGCCAGTGGAAAAGATCTCATTTATTTTTATAAGCCAGTAATGACATGACCAGAGAGTTCTACTTCCTGTCTTTGGAAAGGTCACCCTCTTCAACTAAGCTACAAAGAAGGTAGGAAGAAAGAAACCCCTTTAACCAACTACCTTAGTCTGAGTCAGCCCCAGCGGTCAACCCACAGGGTGACGGGCACTGTAGTCAGCACCCTCAGTTCCCAAGCACAATTCCACGATGCCACTCCTTGGGATGTCATTTAGATCCTAACCACCGAGTAAAGATAAAATATATTACATAATATGCTTCAAAATCCTACTGTAAAAGTAGATGTTTTGAAGATAATGAAATGAATTCTTATTTACAAATTGTCCTATATTGAACACAACAGTTGAGCATAATAAAGGCAAACCAAATTTTAATGGCTGTAATGATATGAAAAGACATTTTCAATGATGTTTTACACTGATTGTGGCGTATTCCTGAAATGTTTAAGAAGCCTGGATGTTTCTATGCCAATGTGCAGATAGTAAATGACTGCTTCTAAAATGGCATTATCTATCTTGACGGAAAACGGATATAGTTTAGCAAATAGCTTATCTAGTTAAAAAAGTCATCCCTGATTGTAGTAGATGCAACACCTGCTTGTAAACATGAACTAAAGCCAAACCACCGTTTTCCACTAGAATGTCCTCTTGTAGTATTATGTGTGGTTTATAATATCTAAGAGAAAGGCAAAATGGAGGAAGGAGAAGGTAAAGGAAACAAGCAGTGAATCCTTATTCTCCTTGGAACACAATGGGTGGGTCAACATTCCCAGGGAAAAGTGTGTCATCTCACTGGCTCATGCATCGTAATCACTTGAAAATGATATGGGTATAATTTTATCCATGAGCGGCCTCTGCATAAGGACAAAGACACAGGGCTAGAAGAGAATTCTGTTTGTAGACCTGCAAGATCTCTAACAGAAATTTAAAATGACAGATGCTGGGATTTAGCTTTTAGTCTCAAACCTATTGATCCTTCTCAGAAGTCCCCTTCAAGAAAACTCCTGAAAAAGATGTTCCATCTGATAAGAAAGCTCCAAAATACTCTTCAACTGTTTCCCTAGCTTCCGAACCAACATTCTTTGGGGATCTACAAAAGACAACAATGACATGCAAGTAAGTCTGCATGTGGAAATATCCTGATTTCCACAGCTGTCCTTAAACACATGTACTGAGTCAAGTTACAGCTGAGAAGTAACATCTGTGGTGTGCACAAATGAACAGCCTCTGCAACCTAACTGGAATCGCCTTGTACTTAGCAAAGGATGAGACACTGATATTCATCAGGAACTGTACAAAGTATGTTTATGATCCGGTTACACGGTCCTAAATTAAATACAGACATACATAAATTTAACTTCCATGTGCAAATTAGCACACACAATGATACTGGTTCCTCCAGGGAACTGTGCTGAGCTTCTGTTTACAAATACAGTAGTGATTAAAACTGTAAGCAAGAAACAATGAGCCATCTTTTTACCAGTGCCAAGTGTTCACCTACTTCATGTGCTTGATCAAAATTGTACCCTTAAGTCAAGACTTCCCCTTTTTGGACTTTGTTTTTGGCTCTCAACCAAATGACTATATTCAAATATAGTGATATTCAAATTAGCTACCTCAGGGGCTTGTGTTTATCAAGAATTTACACCTCAGTTATAGGCTAGCATTTATAAGATATGTCTAAGTAACACTGGACAATATGGTGACTCGAAAGCATCTTGGGATGGTGGGCATGTTGGCAACTAGCTTTAAAACCAGCATTTGGGGGGCTGAGGCAGAAAGATTATAAATTCAAGCCCAACCTAGGCTACATAAGGAGTTCAAGGCCAAACTGGGCCATATAGCCAGACCCTGACCACAGAAAAATAAAATATCATAGAGTGTCTTTACTAATTTTTCAAGGATTCAGTGTGACTGCCAATCATTTCCATAATCTTGACCCAAGTAGGAGTTCTGTGTTTAACTGGGCATGCATAATCTTATTCAATTCATAAATTTCTGTCATAACCTAAGCTAAAATGCTTCTGGTTTTCATAATAGTAACTGCTTCATTTACTCTTGAATATTATATTTTAAATTTTAAGCAAAGATGGATGGCACCAGCATACTTTCACCCTCCCTCATGGCTGTATTAGGGACCACAACCATATTTCTGGGTTGGCTCTTGTGGTGGAGAAGCCAAACACTACACATGGCCCTGTAAGCTACTTCTGGTCCTATCAAAAACTTAAAGCCAACCCCACCTTCCATCCTGATTTGCAGTGAAATAAGAAAAGCTTAGTCCTGATGCTCTCCTATACAAGAAACTGTCTGAGGTCACTCATTTGGGCACTGCTTCCAAAGGCACATTTATTCCAGTGGAAATTTTAGTAAAGAAGGAAAGAAGAAGGTTGAAGACAAAACAAACAAAAAAATCCGATGAGCTCTGTGGAATACATTAAAGTAAATAGGAATCTGGGATCTATACAAACCACTTGAGCTCTTCACCAATAGACTAACCAGAATCCCTAAGGTAAAAGTCATTCACAGTTGTATCATGAGACTCACAGGCCTTCAGAGAACACTGTTTTTAGAAAGTAGAGAACTTTGAAGCAGCTTGCCCTGATGTCTGGTTCAAGTGTGTGCAATGCAGAAGGCTGCAAAATTCAAAGCTATGTGACAAAGAAAATTCAGTGCATATCACAGGCTTTTATAAATTATGAAAAAATCATCATATATATTACTATTTAAATAACATATAAGAAACATTTTGAAATAATTATCTTGTGTTCATATTCCATGCATTTTCTAGCAAGTTAAGCCCTGGGTTTGTGTCTGTGCACCCATTTCCTACAAAGCCCCATTCTTCTGACAAATCCAGGCATTCCTGACTGAATTGGAAGTACCCAGGGATTTCTGAGTATTTATCTTCTTTACTGCATACCTGACCTCACAAGGGCTACTTGTTACCGCTGACACAGAAAACAAGTGGAAAATCAAACTGTTTGGGGGTGTTTGGGATTGTATACCTTGGCAAAACCCCTGGGTGTCAGAGACATTACCTGATTTTTTTCAGGGAGCAAGAACCAGTGGCCCTCTCTTGCTTGATCCCCCCGACCCCTTGCCTAAAGCTCCAAGTGGACTGAGATTCCCTGGTAGCAGTGGATCTCTCCCTTGTAGTTTGGCAGTGCCCTCCTGGAGCAAAGAAGGAAGCACAACAAAACTTGAAAACAAACCAACAATAGCAACAACAGAAACTTCAAACAAACAGATGGTCAAACCAGTCGCCTCTTCCACAGTAGAGGGTCACTTTTTACTGCAGAAGTCGGTATTGTTGAGGAACTTCCTGATGACCAAGCCCAGGCAAACCACCAGCAGCAGCATGTAGCCCACGGTGCCCGAGAAGGTGGGCGCTGCGGGCGGGGCCTGGAGGAACTGGCGTAGACCCTCCTCCACGTAGTACACCTGGTCGTAGATGCTGAGGAAAGTGAAGATGTGGAAAAGCTGGTGACTGTGACCAATGATGTCGAAGAGGCCTGGCTGGATGCGCTCAGGGATCTTGCTCACGTTGAAGAAGGCAGCCACCACCAGCCAGAAGTAGCGGCGATAGAAGTGCACAAAGAGCGTGGGGTTCTCACCTCGCAGGTCGAAGAGCCAGCTCTCCAGCATAATCGGGCAGGCCATGCTGAGGGGCATGATGAAGACAAAGGTGCGCAAGGCGAATGGATAGGCGCACCAGTCGGTGCGGCTCTTGCAGCAGGCCACTGTGCAGGCCACAGCCAGCACGAAGGCCACCGGCAGCACCAGCTCGCGGTAGGCGGCGATGAGGCGTGTGCAGTCCACGTGCCAGCCCAGGCGCTGCTGTACATACGGGGTCATGACGCTCGCGTCCAGCAAGCTCAGGCCGGGCAGCAGGTAGTAGTAGTAGGCCACGGTGCTGCCGAAGCCATAGTAGCTGATGGACGCGTAGTCCAAGTAGAAGAAGGCGGCGCGCAGGCGCAGCGAGAGGCAGCTGAACACGTGCGCCGTGCAGCTCATGGCGAAGGTCAGCAGCACCCCGGACGCGTAGCACCACAGCGGCAGCAGCCAGGGGTGGTGGAAGGGCACATCACGGCCGCTCAGGAAGAACAGGCGGCAGAACTTGCTCAGGAACAGCAGCAGCGGGATGAAGTGCGTCCAGAAGTTGAGTGTCTCGTTGGTGGGCTTCAGCACCGAGGCCAGGCACTCCTGCGCTGTGCACGGCAGGCGCCGGTAGCCCGACAGGATGAAGCACTCCACGAAGTCGTCGGGTACCTCGTCCCACCGCAGCAGCAGCTTGGCTGACGCGGGGGGAGCCTCGGGGACTGCGGGGTGGGAGCGCCGGGTGGCCCCCGGAGCCGCGGCGGTCGTGCCCTTCGTGCCCGCGCCCCGGGGCTGCAGGCGCCGCGGCATGGTGCCCGGGGCCGGGCTGGAGCGCGCGCAGGCGACCTCTGGCGCCGGCTCCTGCGCGCTGGGCAGCCCCCGCCGCCCGTCGGAGCCTTTGTGCCCGCGCCGGGGGCGTCGCTCCGGGTGTAAGGCAGGACCTGCGCCCCCCAGCAGCCGTTCCTAGAATAAATAAATAAATTAATTAAATAATCAATAAGCAGCGTGGCGACCGGCAGGAACGCGCGGGGCTCGGCGCTCCCTCGCCCAGCTGCCTGCTCCCGGCGCGCGGCCGCCCGCGCTGCGGACTGC